TCGACACATCAAAATGTTGTTGACCACCTTGGGGAGCTCCATAGCTTGTGCTGGGGACGGATGGTGTATCAAAATGTTGCTGTTGAGAAGGGGCAAAATGTTGTTGCGGCTGTGGTGGCGGTAAGTATTCTGGCTGAGGAGCATTGTAGCTTTGGCTAGGAGCGTCAAAATGTTGTTGATTAGAAGCGTAACTTGATTCTGCTGGAGCATGTTGCTGATGAGCACTGTAGCTGGGTTCATTAAAATGTTGTTGTTGATGTTGTGGTGAGATATATTGTGGTGCCTGAGAATAAGAAAGATCTACTATAAACAATTCAAATATAACATGGTGAGTGTGAAAGTAAAACAAGGCAGTCAGCAAATAGAATTTATCTGACTACTTCATAATGTCACTACGACAAATATAAAAACTTACTGGTGGTGATGGTGGTGCTGGAATATCTAAAAAGAGAATAACAATATCAGACCATCAATTTCACTCACAAACTTAGAATCACAAAAATAATGAAACGGTTCGTTCACGTTTGCTAACCTTGTTGATTTGGTGGGAAGTATTGCGGTTGAGTTTGCGGAGCACCATCAGGAACTCCATAGCTTGAACTAGGGATGGCTGGGGCATCATTATGTTGTGGAGCTGGTGGGCCGTAGGTATTGCTTGGCGGTGATGCTGGCAGGTATGTGTTTTGTGGCTTTTCCTGGTTCCTAACGAAAACTTGTTGAACGACCAAAAGAACTTTGTGCACATATGGTTGAGATTCGCGAATTTCCTTAATCACTGGAATGGGAATTGGCTGTTCGACATGGACAGGAAAGGGTTGCTTTACGATTTTTAAGACTGGCACGGGGTTATCAATCGGAATATGACGTTCGAAATGTGTGTAAATAGGATTATCAACTTTAATGATTCGCTCATACGGGACGTGCACGTGCTTTACAAAAGTTTTGACTTGAGTTGGTATCGCTTCGACGGCATGTTGTTGAACGACTGGACTGGCAGCATAATGTACGGCAGGTGCAGCTGCCGGCAAGGCCGGTGACGAATGCAAAAATGTATTTGTTCCCGGAAATAATTGTGGTGATGGAATGAATGGAGCTGCTAGCGGTTGATATTCTGGGACTGAATGAGCTGCATAGGATGGATTGTAAATATTTCCAAAATTGGCGGTGCCCAATCCAAGTAATCCACGTTTCTTCACTTTCTTATCCTCTTTGTCCGCAGCTTTTGAGGCTGCTGCGCACATTGCAACTAACACCAACAATAAACTCTGCCAGAAAATAAATCGTAAATCATATTCAGTGTTTGGTTTTGAATTAACATCACACACCCAAATGACTCAATACTTACGAAAACCTTCATCTTGATAAAACTTAATTTCTCACTCGATCCGCTGTGAGCAACGAAAATGTATCGAATGAAATTGAAATGACTGATACGAGTTTTATATGGACCGAAATTATTCACATAATATCCCCGCCGCCGCCACCGCCAAACATAAAATCGTTGAAAATTCACACGAAAATTAGTTTGAATTCCATATCACTTTTACTTCTCTCTATAAAAATATGAATTCGTAGCTGTTGACCGACATCGAAATCTATTTTAGACGATCAAGATAATAGAGAGCACATCTAGAAAATAAAAATAAAGCAGACAAGTATTCGATAATTTACTACAGTCAAATATGTCATTTTTTTGTGCTAAATCATTTCAAAAATTGATTCGATTGGAAGGTGAACGCCAACACCATATTTACATCATATATGATGTAAAGTCACACAACAGCCGGCTTATGATTATATATCGCATCGAATTGAAAGCAGCCAAATTTCGTAAACAAAAAAAAAATAGATCAGATAAGTGAATAACCGCCGCATAAACACATAAATCCATTCAAAGAAATTCTCTTTCTCTCTTTATAACTCAAACGACCGACGTTGATTGGCTTGCCGACCATTGTTTCAACCAACATGTTATGCTAAAATATGCAAATGATCCGATAAAGCTTGCGGCCAATGGCCATACTGTGTAGCTCAAACACCAACAAAGACTTTTTATGGACTGCATCGATTCTGTGTTTTGTGTTATCGTTGTTATTAATTAAGAAAGCGCATTTAGTTTCAATGATTTTTTTTCTATTTTCAAAAAATCATTAATAACATTTTTTGTGAGTAATTTTTAGAGCATTTTTTACTGTTTTGAAAAAATTTGATATTTTTAGCTTTGTCTGCAGAAGTTTACTTTCAAAAAGTGTTGTGTGTTTTGAAAGTATCTGCTGGTTTGTCTGATAAACAGCACAACAGTTGACAGGATTAATTTATGTCAGTTCATAAAATTAAAATGATAATTCGAATGTGAGCTCGAATCTTCGACTCTGAGGTCATCACACATGATGAGTCTGTGTGTGATGAAAATCACATTTTTGCGCGTAATATTTTCTCGTAGGTCAAATGTTGCGTTCATTTCAATCGACTCAGGCTGAATTCTTTCCAAATCGAAATTTACGCATTTGTCAAATCATTACATTAAAGAAGTTGTACAATATGGATATGATGTTTAACGCGAAGCATGAATAAATTTACACATTCAAAATACACAAAAATCAACGAAATAACTCGTTACTAGATCAAAGTGAATCGAGAAAATTGTGTTTAACTAGAAAACACAGCATGCGATTTTGTGATTATCGTTTCAAAATTCGACAAACGAAACGTGAATCGTCGTCCCTTTGGGAATTGATTGGAAAAAAAAACTATTACTGCCGTAATGTGAGTTTATGAGCATTCATTTGTGATTTTGAATGATGTGGTGGACATCATGGCATTTTGCACATGAATATATAGTGTGTATGCGTTGATGGATTGGATGAGCGTTGAATTGACAACAAATGGAATACGTCGTTCAAATCAAATCAAATCAAAAGGAACAGAACTGACTCTCTGCAGTTAGATGATATTCCGAGTAAATCGGTTTTTGCCACACTAATGAATGCAAAATGAAAACCGATTTCGATTTTCCTTTCATTTCCTGTTGGCATATCAGCTTCCCTATACACTGTGTTCAACGCACATGCACGATGATTTTTGGTGTGCGGTCTTTTGCCAGATATTGCATTTGCGGTGCGATTAACATTCGTTTTTGTTGCCTTCATAAAACAGTTGGTCGTTTGGAATTCGGTTATGGTGCATAAAATGTATTTACAAATCAATACTGTGGAAACTTTTGCAAACCGCCACAGCTTAAAACACACCACCATCGTAATTGCTCCGCAATTTTATTTCGGGTGACCCAAACGAGAGAAGAAGGAAAAAAACGGCAGCGGCAGCTGCAATCGGGAGAGATCGATGCAAAAGTTATCAGCATTTAATTTATTGCTTGTGAGGTATAAAAAAATGCAATTATTGGAAGAAAATCTGGACGCCAAACAACGGAAATGAGGCTATCAAGTATTATACAATAATTTATGTCGGTTCCTTTTTATTTATGGTCGCCAGTTTTTTTTTCCATACATTTTCTTCAATACCTTTTAGTGGATTATTTTGTGTGTGTGTGTGCGCGTTTTGTTTGTTGCTTTTGTTGTTGGCCCACAAAAAGCTTTAATGATTTATTTATTGTTTTTCGCATGTGACTCTATTTTTCGAGTGATTAATTTACAAGAACATATATTTAACGTGGCATGTTACGATATGTACTATTTGGAGCACATACCAGATGAAGAAAAAAAATATCGGTTTATTTGGCAAATTGACGTTATACACAAGCAGAAGCAATAAATACCATAATTAAAAGGTTTTGTCGAGAGAAAGAGAGAGAGTGAGAGAGAGAGAGAGAGAGCGAGAGCACGTCCCGAATTCGTAAATATCAGACGTGATAATTTCCGTCGTATTTTCTTTTTGTCGATTCATTTCACGCGCTTGTTCCATAAAATTCCGATATCACATCTGACCGAAATAATAATTGCGCACAAAAAAAAAATAGTTCTCCCCGGCAATGCTGGACATGAATTGAGTTTGAAACTCTGATAGATATTTTTTCTCTGCGTGGGCGTAAATGTGTATGTGTGTAAAACTGTGGACGATCACAACTTTTCAGAAAATAAAAACAATTGTTTCCAATTTAAAATTTCCAGAGACATGAGAAAAATATACAAAACACGGCCATGCCATTCAGAAAATTGACACATCGCAACGGGACGAAGATAAAACGAATGCGTTGGAGCTGACAGAGTGTCATGATAAAATAGCTGGCGAACTTTTACAATTTTCCAGATAAATTTTGTTCAGCGGAATCTATCAAACTTGCTTCTGTTTTTTAATGCTTCAACTGCATTCAACTCACTATTTCAATTTACGAAAAAAAAACTGTTTTTAATTAAAATCATTTTGTAGTAGCGTTATTTCTGAAATAATGATGGGTTGTGTTTCATGTCAGTTAAAATATAAAATGTGTTGAGCTCTATTTTTCCGTGCGCATCAAACGAACTCTTTACATTTGTAACGACGAAAATGCATGGCTTGTTTATCAAAATCTTATCACATCGAATGGACAACTCCATTTCCTTTTTACACGATGCATTCTAGAACGACTGTGAGACATGGAGCAGTTTAGTCCATTATGCTAATTGAATTTTATAATATAACTTTCCGACAAAACATGATGATGCACAGATCGATTGGAAAAGTTCTTATTTGGGTTGAACGAGATAGAATATTTCGTGATAACACAGTTCGGTTTATTTATCTGTATGTCGAGATTGTGCTGTTGATATGGCTGCATGAGGGGACAGTGGAATGAATATGCATGAAATGAATGTGTGCACATTGAATACACACACTCTCCCATACAGTCTTGTAATTAAATTCCGAAATGAACTTCCTGTCTGGATATTCAGATTTTGTTATTGTTCACCAGGCCGAGTCATCTACGTCGTCATCGTCGTAGTAGCCGGGCGACTTTAGCAACTTCATCTCCAAACATGGCTATTGTATTTTCTATCCGATTCGATTATTCGAAAAGTCCGAAACGGAACTTTGCTTTCTAATGCAAATGTGTTGCGGAACTGGTTATCCATTGCATGGACATTGTGCCGAGCGAATGTAATGCCATTTATCGTTGGATAAATCTTCCACCGAAACCGAAACAATGACAATCGAAATTTTCATTTTGGGCTAAAGAACCAGTGGAAATAGCAAACGATAATGCAATGGGCTTTTAAAATGGCGATCTAGCAGTAAATGCACAAAATCCAAAGGTAAAATGCAATTGTCACAATTGGAAAACTAAATTTGATTCTGAACTACACCTTTCGGGTAGAAAGTTTTACCGTTTCGTATTTATTTCCTGTTTATGCTAAAACTTTACAAACTCGGTTCAACATATCGGTAAATATCGGACGTAAAGTATCAAGTCTTTTGGAATGGAGATGATTTATTTATTTCCATTATTTTGAAAAGAAGAATACGTATACGTGGCTTCGTCTCGTACATTTGATTGCACTATCCACTCTTAACAATAAAAAAAAAAAACCTCACACGAATTCATAGATATTTTGCCTTGCGACGTGCATTCGAGTTTGGCATTACGACCGAATGTAGTGGGATCTGTTTTCGTTGATAGCGGTAGTTGAATATTTTTGTAATATATTTGTGCGCGCAACGTGTATGCACGTCACTGCCATATGGCACTCGAGAGAGGGAGCATCACGTACTTGTCGTATCTTATCGTCAACTTATTGACGTGATGTGAAACAAAATTGAAAACTGTTTGAACTAAATCAATTGTCATCTTGTGTTATTAAATAATATGCTCGTGCTGAACGCTGATTTAACAACAACAAGCCATCCAGTTGTAATAATCTCCGATAATAACACCGACGCATTTGTGGCATTCAAACATGTGTTTTAAGATTGCTGAGCATCTCAGCATTTCGTAAGGCACGGATATATCCGAGCATATCGACGACGCATACTGTATAATACAGTGGCGTGTGTTGCTACGTGCAGCCGCAACGACTCGACCGAATTGTGTTCGCAGCAACAACATACAAATTCCGGTCGTGTAGCAACGCACGCCACTGTATGCGTCGTCGATATGCTCGGATATATCCGTGCCTTACGAAATGCTGAGATGCTCAGCAATCTTAAAACACATGTTTGGTGGCATTAGAAACATGCAAGCATCTCTCTCTCTCTGCCTCTTTGTCATCTATCTCAAGTGTAGAAAACTTGTTCACATTGTGGCCCGATTGCGATTGGTTGGATAATTCAAAAAGTATGCTACTCAACGATATTTATCCCACAATTTTGCTTGGCATCATTGCTACAAAACGCTCCATTCACATCCAATTGCGCATTGCATTACGTTTGGCTACGATAAATGACAAATGACAATGCACGAAGAACATTTGTCGTTTGGAACGTCCAACGATGAGACGTGATAGGTATTAGCTTTGAGTTGATAATAATAAGTGCAAAATTGATTTCGTGGCCCGAACTCACCATAACATCCTTACTTTGATTATGTAAAGAACAAAAAAATAACAGTGTATTCTCAAGATAATTCTAATGTTGTACTTATCAGTCAAAAAGATATATCTTGACTTCTGGAAAACTGTCATGTTTCTGTTGATATTCAGATGTATATTTTTTTTATTGAAAAAATGATTATGAGGAAAAAAAAGTCATATAAAAAATAAATATCTGTTCGTTTGCATCGGATGCACAAAAGAGCAACAGAAGTCGGATTCATTTGATTTTTCATGCACAACTTTTCTCGTGAATAATTCGCGTGTTGTGATAACTATCTAAAAAAAAATATTCAAAAGCGCATAATTCACATTTTTATTTCCGACATGTATAAAATACATTGTATTCCCGTACCATGGCAAATCTTCAACTTACGTTTTACGCAAATAGCTTGATTTTCAGCAGTAGTTTTCATTTCAGTTGAAAATCCTTTTTTTTTGTTCCAACAAGATTTGTCCATTTGTAGTTGACTTGGGTTTGCTATATATTGATGCCTTCATTATAATATCGTGATTTAAAAGCTGCTTTCCGGTTTCATCAAGCACAGTGCATCTTACAAAATTCATTTCACATTTCATATATCTATTATTAATGTGTTGAGAATGAGAAAGGGACGCTGTGCTGTGGTGGTTTTGCTTCGGCTTACAACACGACTATGCGGAGATGACGACAAAATTTCTATTTTAACTCTCTATCTCTCACATGCATAAATAACTCCTGAAATGTCGCATACGTTGTGTTTTTTTTTTCTCGCTCCTGAAAAATGTACTACGCACAAATAAATGGAATCCATTTTGGGCATTAAATAAATTGGGTTAGACGCTTGTGTTATCGTTGTCGCTTGATGCTTTCATCATCATTGACAAAAGCGCTAGTCTTGTCTTCTATCAAAGCAGCAAATGAAATAAAATGGACGAGGAAAAAATCAAGGCAGAAAAAAGAAAATATGAATAAACGTGATCTCAGCCTATGTTCCGTATAGTTTGCTATGTATGCGTACACAAAGCGTAATGTGAGTGAAGAAAAAGAAAGGGAAAAAAAATTTAATAATTTATTTATCACAGACAAAAAGGCAACAAACAGAAGCAGCTAGAGAGACACAGCGGAAAGCATATCGTATTTTTACGTATAACTTGTAAATACACATTCTGTTTGAATATAGTCGATTGAATCTATCCGACAGTACCGGATATTCCATTTCTGATTATGGCTTCACATCAGAGCTGAGAGAAGTGAATTTCTGATGTGATACACATATATGAACACGTTTGCGAAATGCGTTCCCTGTTTGCATGCTCTTGAAATCTGCAATGGTATGGCTGGCACAGAATGTCTGGAACATTTCTTCGGCAAACAAATGATGATTACGACAACATCAACGGCAATGATAGCAACTGAACATGCAAACTAGAAAATAAAATTAGTTTAAATGCATAAACATTTCACATTCACATCCCTCTCCCGCTGTGTGTTTGTCTGTGTGCTTTTGCATCATTTTACAGTCGAACCGCTGTCATTGTAAGTAATTTATCTTGTTTCTTGATCCTTTGCTCTGTTTGGTTTGCCATGCAACGCTTTCAATTTTTCTCCCCTACACACTCACGCTCTCGTTACTGTGTTTGTTTGCAAGTGTAGACCATCTTCGGGAAAAAAGATGAAGTAATTTGTTATTTTTGGAATGCACACTTACTCGAAGACGTAACGAAACAGTTTAATCAAATGAATACAACCGAAAATGTTTGTCGTCAAACGGAGGAATAAACAAAAAATGGTTTAATTGAAACGAATCCCACTTCTGTTACTAACAGTTTGGTTTTGATTCAGTTACATGTTGACAGAAATTGCAAACGGGGTGAATTAGATTTTTCGAAATGTGTTGGTTGGTTTCAAGAGAAAATTAAATATTACAAATATACGATGAAGTCACGCTTTCAACTAAAAGTTTTTCTCTTATTTTTATTTTTCTAGCAAACTCATTTGTATACCAAATCAAACGGATTTGATAAAGTAAATTCGTTTAGCGCAATGAAGTCAAAAACATGCCATGTCAGTGCGCTTTCACTACACACCGTTCCCATCGATACTTTGTTGATTCTGCTGAACCACGAAACCATTTGGAAACTCACAGAAAAGGTGTAACCAGATACACATACACAGTCGAAAACCAGTGAGTTCAATTAGTTATTATGCGCGCAATTTTCTGTTCGTTTCAGTAAGGAAAGTTCAAACAACCAACGAACAAAAACAAAAATACCGATTTCCTGGAATACGAAATATCGTGTTTATTCCAAATAAATTGGTGTAGTTTGATTTTTCAATCACGATTCGTTTTTCCTGCTTCATAGCGTAAAGTAATCAATTTATACATGCAAATCGCTATTGAATTTTTTTTGGCACGAATAGCTTTCATTGGCACACATAGAGAGAAAGAGAGAGGGAGAGACTGGAACAAATGTAGTAAATAAACTCTTAATTTGTCTAAGATGCACAAGCACAGTGCGTGATGAATAGAGTTTCTGAAATTCGTTGTCATAGCTGCATTGAGCTGAGGTCGATCGATGAAGGAAAATGTTTTAAATGAATCAAAATCTAATTAGAATTTTGAATCTAAATTATTGTAATCAAGAATCAAATCCATTTTATGGAGCACTTCCGACTTAAAGTTTTCATGTTGTTTTTTCTCCGTTTATACTAGTGACGAATCTGATAAGGTTCAAGCCAAGGTATTTGATCAGATACCTGCTCTTAAAGTTTTTCCATGTTGTGCCAATTTCGAATGTCAATCCTCAATTTCAAATGAATTTAATCGTAAATGTATGTGGGATAAAATCTTATTTTTCTTGGAATAATCCAACTCTTGTTCACCTGGACCTGATTTCAATTGGACTCTTTCAATCTAATATCTTTTGCTAATGTGAATTCAGTGTGATGAACCTCAAAATGACTTTTCAATAACATTCATGTCCTTCCCATTCTCCCAAAAAAAAAGTTGTCCATTCAAATGAGTTTAAGGCTGCTGTCATTCGATTGATATCACCGATATCGTTATTATGTCAATAGATGCTAAAACCAATGTTGACTCATTCACGTGTAAAATGATTATCTTGTTATGTGGTCGAGTGCAACTTGGTGTTCTGGATCAGTCAACATCACACAAACATACACACAGTTCCACTTAATTTGGGCTGTCCAATTATTTTGTTAACGTTGGCACCGGCTTTTGTCCAATTCAAAACTAATACATCTTCGATTCCAGAGGAGGGGAGTCTGCATCGAAAACCGAATTTGCAAGTAATTTATGTTTAATGTGATTGCTTGTTGTTAAGTGAGTCAAAAATTAAAAAAAAAAATACATTGAACCAAAATGTTGCACAAGGTATTATAAATGTTGATGTTTCGGAAGGGTTTAAGGCAGTCGGGCACACTCAACTGAATGTGTATTTGATTTTGTGGCATTTGATTTCCGATTACTAAGCGATCACCATTATTCACTTACCAAAATATATTCAGATGACTTCATGTTCAATCACATCACCATAAATAGGCCCACTCTCAAAACGTGTGACACCGATATGGGTCTGATTTCATTACGAGAACAACATCAGCACAACAATGTGATGTGTCAAAGGATGCAATGGAGCATGCAGATGAAGAGGTTTTGAATGTATCTCGTTGACGTACATTGACTCATTCTGAATGGGAATAACCAAAAATTCACCGCACACTTTTCGTGATTCCAATGAATCACTCTGACAGCGTGTAATATAATCGCATTCATTGAGTGCACTGGTCAATCAGAGTTTAGTTCAAGATTTTCTAAGAATTAATTCAAATTTGTCTAAGATTTTCTAAGAATTAATTCAATTGTCTAATCGAAAATTTGACCGAATTATTGTAAGCAATTGACCTAATTAATATCATATTAGATAATTAAAATATACAATTGAGCATAGCACCCAAAATTTCAAATGAATTATCTGTTAAATAGGTCCGAATCTAAATCATCAAAATGAACAAAAGCCAAGAGAAGGGAGCCATAATTTGAAAATCTGATTGAGTTTGAGGTGTAAAATTAACACTGTAAATGCTAAGTGATCTCAATTACTTCAATTGGGTGGTCAAAGACTGAGTAAATATTCCAAATTATTTGAATGAGAAAATTGTGAACAGCAACGAAAAACAAAAAATCCGTAAAATCATTCGTCTCTATAGAAAAAATGTTTGCGATAGAGATACGCACGCTTCGTATATTAGAAAAATGATGATTAATTCGTGAAGTTACCCGGTAAAAAAACAAAAAAACAGAGACGAGCGATTAAAATATATTAACTCGTTTGTTGTTATTGTTGGTCAAGGTTGGCTTTGCATCGTATCATCATCATCATAATCTACACGCAATCAATTATGACGTTTTGGAATCTCGGTATCACTACTACCTGAACAAGCAAGTGCTTAAATTTTTTTCGCCTGTTGCATGTAATATGCGTGTGTATGTGTACAATGATTTCGTCATTTTGTATCGAACTTTATAAGAATGAGACGGGAATAAAAATACGTTAGAATGAGACGGCAGACCTGGTAAATCAGATTACCTGGCCAAATACATACAAAATCAGTGGCCCATCTATAGAATACGGTCAGATGCTTTTGTAAATTCATTCACTAAACAAGTTCCATTCTGTGCTCAACATCATCATTCGATTGTGCTACGGCTGCCGTTTCGGCTGGAATTTTCATATTTTGCTAGCCGGATTTTCAGTTTCAATAATTTTTTGTGATAAGCGATAATAAAAATTTCCAACAAGTTGCAGTTGAACGACGCATTTTTTTTTTTGTTCATTTTCTTTAACGAAAAGAAACTAACGTGTGAAGCAAAAACTTGAAAAATAAAAAAAAGGTTGGGCGCAGTTCTTATAAAATTTCAACAATTAACAAAACCAATCAAAATATTATTCGGAGAGAAAAATTCGTGTGATTTTTATTTTTAAATTGTTATGAATTTAATTTTGTGTAGCATCGAATACTTTCACTATATAACGCACAATGATGTATATGCTGAGGTAAAAAGTCGACAGGTTTTCTCATCGTTTACATTCACTTGTGTGTTGATTCGAAGATTTCGACAGGCGGTTTTATGAAATACAAACATGTGCATTGTATATATATACGTCAACGTTTAGACGCAGTTCCCTATGACTCAGTTCACAAACACGTTTTTATTTTTTAAACATTCGTTAAGTTTGGTTTGTCAGCAAAATGCCAATAATAATTCTCGATCATATTGGACAAAATAAATCGATACGGTGTTGAAACTAAAAGTGTCAGTTTTAAGTTTGACACGATCAAACAGTTCATGTTCATATGGTTTTATATGATGCGGAATAAAACTTGTTTTGTTCATTCATCACACTGCTTTAAAATTCAACCAATCGGCGTCATGTATAGTTTTGTGTTTATATATATTTAAAAATAGTTTCGATTTAATGAACGATTTAGACCATTTTGGCTGCTGAAAAAAAAAAACTGTTTCATTGATCCAAGAAATTTATGTAGTGTAAAAAAAGTGAAAATATACCGTTTCAATTCATTTCGATTTCTTTGCAGATGGTCGCAAGAAGGATTGAAGTGGTGTTTTTGTTGGCATTGTGTGCTACATTCTCATTAGCTTATGTGGTTCCGAAGGCTCGAATCGATGTACTGCATCCAAAAGGTTTTTCCGTTTCCATACCAGACACACCGGGTATACAGCTCTTTGCGTTCCACGGCAATTTAAATTCGCCCATGGAAGGTTTAGAAAATGGGCAATTTTCCGCCGATATTCTGAAACACAAAAACGGACGATGGACATTCACAAATCGAAAGCATGAAATCAAACCGGGTGACATTTTGTATTATTGGTTGTATGTGCAAAAAGAATCACTTGGCTATCGACGCGATGATCAGAAGCATGAGTTCACAGGTAAAATGGGAATCAAATTTTACACTAGAATTTTTCGCACATCGAATAAAAATTCTAGTCAAATCATTAAATTTGGGAATTTTTTTTGAAAAGAATTCGAATTTTTCTTATTGCCTATAGAAGCCGATGTGTATGGTGGATCGAATTCAACTTACGAAGAGCCGAGCACTGAATACAGTGCTCCTGACTACACGGAACGTCCATCGAGACCGACTCAACCACCAAGAGGTGGTACATACGGTGGTGGTGGTGAAAGAGGTACATCAGTGAATGAAAACTGTAACGCAAGTACGCCACCAATGCGAGTATTCCCGGCCGAAGTGCATCACTATCATCATCATTTCTTGCCAACGCTCGCACCAGGTTCGTGCCCTCCATACGGTGGTGGCGGCGGCGGAGGAGGAGATCAACATGGTGGTAGTTTTGGAGGCAGCAACGGAGGTGGCAGCAACGGAGGTGGTAGCAGCAGTTTTCCGAATCCAGAGGGTCAAAGCGGTGGTGCTGGACAATCGGCCAGTATTCAACAGCTAACCCATCAAATGCGACAAGTAATGGCTGCACTGGAAAATATGAAATTAAAAGTTGCCACACTATCGGAAGTCGTCGATGAATTGATTAATTCAAATACCAATACCAAATTGTTGCTGACCGGCGCTAAAGTTGATACCACAACCAATTTATTCGATCTAGTGCGACACATCATTTTGGATCGATTGGATTTGAAAGATTTGAAAAATGACATTTATTCGGCTACACGCACCAAAAAGGGTATCGTCTTTGATGTTGCATCCGGTTTGGATAAACGACGTATTTTGGCCCGGTCTCGTGAACGTTTGCGTGGCGACGATGAAGAGCTACGTATTTCTGATTACTACGATGGAGACAGCAACAAAAATAATAATAGTGACAATGATGATGGTTCATCGGAATCAATAATTGATACTCGATTTGGTGACGAGTGATGGGCAAATTTTGCACAGATTTCACTTGCAATTGTTCACACCCATAAAGCAGAAAATTTTCAATGCCAGACACACACAATACCGAGAGATGGAGAGAGAGAGAGAGGAGCATATTTTATTTTGTATTACCTATTTTTTACTTGTAAATAAACATCAAAAAGAAAAATTCTCTGTAGATATCCGTTTACTTTCGTATAATTCGTTTTGTTGTTTAAGTTCGTAAAAAAAAAGAAAGAAATAAACTTATTACCAATGGATTTGCGTGCGATGTATTTTCAATTTCCCACATCGATCAAATACGAAATTCAATTGAAATAAGTCATAGATACATAGAGTGCAAACGCATCTTTTGAATAGCGAGCGCAAATCAATGTGCAGCAAAATTGTTTTCACGCTTTACTCTCCTACGATTTCGATTCAATAACTTAATTATTGTGCAAAATATTGATCATCACGCAAAAAAAAACAACAACGAAAAAGAAAAACAAACGTATTTCCTCAACACCTTTATCATTATAAATTGTAATTGTATGCAAGTTTCATTGGACCACTCGGTCTCCCTTTTAATCGAACAATACGAAATTAAATCATCACGCGTTGCATTGTGTAGCTGGTTTTTGATTTGCCTATATATTTTAATAATAACCGAAGTCGGTTAAGGTTTTCTCCTTCCGTTCGTGAGTGTGCCTGTGCATCGCACTCGCTATGAAAATGCCCTGATTGTTTGAAAATTGCATGTTTCTAAATCAAATTTAATTATACGCATCCAAAAATACGGGAATACTGAAGGCAAGACAATAAATTCTTGGGAATAAAATTTATGAGAATAACTTGGTACAATGGTCATATAAAGCAGATAAGTGCATATTCATCGTTCGTCCAAAACTGCAGTGCAGTGACCACTCCATGCCGTACACGATATATATGCTAGTTCACTCTATCCCAGTGAAAAATTCAAATGGAGAAGTATTATTCTGATTTCCGACTTGTTTGCTCTGAATGCATCTAAATCACACAATGTGCGCACTAGGGCGAGCGCATTCCAAAGAAGTGAAACATACACACCGACACACGTGGTCAACACTCTACTATTTTCTCTCTATTCTTTGGCATTCTTGAGTAATCATATACGGATTCCAAAAATTCAAAACGCCAATAAATCACGAAGTTTTCATTTATGAACATTGAACACATTTGCAAAATTGTTTTCGTTTGCCAGTACAACTAGATATTTACGACCATAGATAATACGAAGTATTGATTTCGATTGGCCACTTCTATATTTTTAGCATCATAGAGAGTATGGTTTTATTTAGAAATCGGCAAATATGTTTTGACGAGCATGCTGTATAAATGTATTTTTTTCCTGCTGCATTCCTCCGAAATCCATGCTCATACGGCATATTGCCTCACAACTGGATCGTTTTTTGGCTTGTTTGATCTTTCGCCACAAAAAAGCCACAATTATTTTGTGAGATGCTTGAACATCCATTTTCAATGCAATGTTGTAAAATTATGGCCGAAAAAACAACAACAACAACGGCACAAGCCAACAAACAAACAAACAAATGGAAAGTATTTGTTGAAATGTTTAACAAACATGATTTGAATTGGAGCGATTGTGCGCAGCTGGATGCATCAAACATGAAAAGTTATGTTGGTGGGAAAAATGATTCGCACACAAGCACAACTGCACACTGTGTGAATTCGTTGGCGCGACAACAAAACATTTTCATTAATTCAATGTAGAACTAATTAAATTTGAATACATTTTTGCTATTTTTCACATCGTCACTGCCAAGCCCAGTGTGCATCTGTATCACTGAGTGATGCACATACAGGCGCGCGCGCTCACACTGCGTACACTAAATCCGCTCCGAAATTATACAATAGCCTCATTTAACAGCAGTTGTTTGCTTTAAAGTTTTCCGAGCGTGCGGATGATTTTAAATATTTGCGCATATTTATGGGCAGACACAGAGAGCTCACTCATTCTACCTCTCTCTCTCGAGCAAGCGAGCGAGCTCATCTCATCTCACTCACTCACTCATCGCAACACTTTAGCCAATTATGTCCCAAGCACTGGCTATTTAATCACTGAAATTAATCTACATAAAAAATATCAGAATCCATCGGTCGGAAGTTTTTGCTACAGCATAATCAGAGGGAAAAAGTTTCCCAACCTCAATGTTGGCTATCATCGTTTTATATTTGTCACATTTATTGCCCGTTTGTCGGTTTTTCTTTTTTCAGCTTTTTCATCACAATCGATGCACATCATGGCGCTTCATTTGCATAACAAGTTGCTGTTTTCAACAACTGTTTCCAACAAAAATGTTGGGCATAACTCATGGAAAAATATTGTGTGCAACGAAAAAAATAACATCTAATGGAATGGCATTTGGTGATTCAACTTTTGAATAAATTGACGCAATTTTTGAGAGGCTGCAAATACAGTTTGCAATTGGTCAATTTATTTATTTTACTTAAAACCGAGCTTTCCTAAATATTTGACTATATCCTATTCAGTAATAACAGTGGGAAACGCACTACATTTTGTGAGAAAAATTCAGAACTCCTGAAATCCGCAAGCCATTATGAATTTAAGTTAATAATATACAAAAAAAAAGATCCATTAGTCATCTTTATCGTTGAGTTTCTCGTAAGGAGTACGCGATAGCATCAATGATAATTCAATGTTTCATTGATTATCTTTGCAATAATATACAAACATCTCACATGACAGATAGTATTCTGAGAGCGATTTCATGAGAATATGTCTAAAATAGTTCTGTTCATTATTCTATGTTGAATTAATCTGTGTTTTCGCTTTTCTCGAAATAAATTGATAGGCATTTTAAACAAAACATGAAACATGCAATCAAATGTACTGACTTGCAGTAAAGTGCAAGAAACAAAATTGGTGATTTAGATTGAATTCATCTCATTTGGGGGAAAATATACGAAATGACTAGAATTCTAAAAATATTAAAAGACACATTCTTAAATCGACCATATATTTGTATGAAAATGACAAATGTGACAGAAATCGGAATTGTTGATAAACCAAAATTCTATTCACATGACTAGAAATCGTCACATGCCATGCTTGCGAGTTGATAAGAAATCAGGAATTCATTGCAATTTCTGCATTTTTCCTTAGTTTCTTAATATCCAAAATAGTCGATTTTCGTATAAATACCAGGTGTCCCTTGATCAACAATCCAATCTAGTTCTCATAGCAGAAAGCAGCTCGTGTCTCTTCAAAAAATTCAAAGAAAAAATCATTCAAAAATGATTCGTTCAGTGGTTTTTGTACTGTTTATTTCAATTGCTCTTACGCAATGTTCACCACCAAACAATAAAAACCCACCATTGAAATTGAACAAGTTGATAAAAACCAATTCAGCACATGGAAAGCCGTTCGGAAGTGTACAGAATCACGCTACACCCTTTGATGTTATGAAATTAAACATTAAAAACGTCATTCCTTATTATGAGGAATTGGAATATGCATTTGGAGAGCGAGTGGAAGGTGAGTATCAAATTGGCATGAATTGAAAACAAATCTCAAACGGTCACTTCATCCATGCATTCAATCACGTGCAATGAGCTAACGCAGAGCATCGTACAGCTTCAAGTGATACTGGTCACAAATCATTGCATTTTTCAGAAATAGTAAATCGATTCTTTTCACAGGTGATGGACCAGTAGGAGTATCTACGGAAATCAACTTTTTCGAAAACGAGCAAGATATTGATGTGATTGCTGCATATCCCAACACTGGATCCGGCAAAATTACTGTTACTTATGTTGAAGTTCAAGTCCTCCAGGTAAGTACAAAACCATTATTACTTCAAAAAATGAGCTCATGTTGAATGTTATTTATGAGTTTAGGATACAACGGACGGAAATGTCGAAATTTCACAAGGTGGAATAAGTCAGCAAGAAATTGGAGTTAAAGTCGTAGCCAAACAGACTAAAGTTATTGCATACCATGTTGTTGTCTATGGAATCTTGAATTAAAAATTTAGCGCACTACTTCAGTAATTATATACATTGGAACCTCGAAGAGGACACTCGATATAACATGTTTTATAATTGGTCGTATTATATGTATTTAATGCCAATTTTTATCTAACCATATTCAATGAACAATAAATAAACTATGGCTTGCAAATGAAAAACTACATCTTTTAATTGGATACTTCAGACGAAGAGGTAGCTAGCCACAAAAATGCGGACAATTTATTTTTGTTTTAATAAAAAATTAGACGCACACTCATTTACATCACTTAAAATGTGTTTCACTTATATCAGAACCAAAACACCAGCTGGTATGAATCAAAATAATCTTCATTGAACATAGTTTGAGTAACTATCAAGTAGGTGCTATGTAATGGTAGAAGAGAGCTATATACATTGATTTGACTACATCTACATGCAATATTAAAAATACCGATGCTGCATAACTAATAATTCTAATGGAATGGCATATTGGTTGAACATTTTAATAAATTGAAACAATTCTTATGAAAATACAATTAAAATTGGTCAATTTACTATACTTAAAACAAAGTTTTTTTTTTCAATATTTGACTAGATGCCTTATTCAGTAATAACAGTGAGCTTCTTGTAATGAATTTAAGTTAAAAGTATACGAAAATAGATCCATTGGGTCATCCCCGTTGAGTTTCTCGTGAGAAGTACGCGATAGCATCAATGATAACTCAACGTTCTATTATTTAGGTCATCTTTGCGATATAATACAGATATATGACGTGACAGATAGTATTTTGAGAGCAACTTCCTTTGTAACTTTATTAGAATATGACCAAAATAGTTTTTTTTTTTTTCATTTTTCCCGGTGAACCAAAAATGCAGCATTTACAAAATCGGCAATAACTTGCGAACAGGACGCAACATATCCCCATGTATGATGTTTTTAGGTTAGTATGATCGTACGCTCTTGTGCGACACATATTCGGTCATTATGTATCGTGTGGGTGGTGAGCTAGGGGTACTTTATTTATTTTTCTCATGCTCTATCTCCCTTTCTAGATGGGGAATTCGGTTTTTCTCTCTAAAATAAGGATTGAAATGTATACTCTTCAATAAGAATATTGAAAAATTAATGAAAAAACTTCAATTTGGTCGGATATCTAACGATCCGCGAATTCGACTATTATTTTTAGACCTAAATCATTTAATGCATTTGGAAAACAAAATGAGAAAGTCGGTGGTCGATTGGTACACATTCTAAGATCGACTATACATTTGTATGAAAATGACAAATGTAACAGAAATCGAATTTGTTGATAAACCAAAATTCTATTCAAATGACTATAAATCGTCACATGCCTTGCTTGCGAGTTGATAAGAAATCATTAGATTCGAAAAATGTCTAAAATGTTTCGAATTTCATTGCAATTCCTGCATTTTTCCTTAGTTTTTTAATATCCAAAATAGTCGATTTTTGTACAAATACCAGGTGTCCCTTGATCAACAATCCAATCTAGTTCTCATAGCAGAAAGCAGATCGTGTCTCTTCAACAAATTCAAAGAAAAAATCATTCAAAAATGATTCGTTCAGTGGTTTTTGTACTGTTTATTTCAATTGCTCTTACGCAATGTTCACCACCAAACAATAAAAACCCACCATTGAAATTGAACAAGTTGATAAAAACCAATTCAACATATGAAAAGCCGTTCGGAAGTGTGCAGAATCACGCTACACCCTTTGATGTTATGAAATTAAACATTAAAAACGTCATTCCTTATTTTGAAGAATTAGAATACACATTTGGAAAGCGAGTGGAAGGTGAGTATCAAATTAGCATGAAATTATTGCATATAAATCTTGAAACGATCAATTTATACATTGATTCGTTTCACAGGTGATGGAATAATAGGTTTATCTGTGGAGCTCAACTTTTTCGATAGCAAAAAAGATATTGAAGTGAATGCTGCATATCCCAACACTGGATCCGGCAAATTTAATGTTACTTATGTGCAAGCTTATGTTATCCAGGTAAGAACAAAAAACTTATTAAAATAATGAGCTCATGTTGAATGTTATTGGGTTTAGGACACAAAGGACGGAAATGTCGAAATTGGAATAAGCCAGCAAGAAATCGGAGTTAAAGTCAAAGCCAAACAGACTAAAGTTATTGCATACCAAGTTGTTGTCTATGGAATCTTGAATTATTAATTTAGCGCACTACTTCAAAAATTATATACATTGGAACCTCGAAGAGGACACTCGATATAACATGTTTTATAATTGATCGTATTATATGTATTCAATGCCAATTTTTTTTTTTAATAATATTCAATAAACAATAAATAAACTATAGCTTGCAAATGAAACTAAAACTTTTAATTCGATACTTCAGACGAAGAGGAGGCTAACACTCATTATCATCGTTTAAAATGTGTTTCTTTTCACAAATAACAAAACCAAAACCACAGACGATATCAATATGAACCATCGAATCAACATGAAGCAAAAAGCATACAAAATTTCCACGCATTCAATCAAGTGCAATGAACATGATCTCTTACTATAGTAAGTTACTACCAAGGTGCGGAAATAGTACGAAATTTCAAAAATTCCGCGTATTTTAGTTACAAAATAAACTCCACTTTACATTGATTTGCTATATACCTCAGTGGCGCTAGTATCGTGAATGGGAGAAATTGACAGCTCTTCTTCCGAAACCTGGTTACTACTCTATTTCACTTTCTTTCAAAGCATGTGGCGAACTAAAAAATCATTGCATAACAATATCTGATGAACATTATCACGTTGATATTTTTATCTAGCCTGTTCAAAACGATTCAGATGTATAAAAATAGTTCCAAGATTGTTATTATTTCGAAACGTATTTCAATCGGTTTATTTTCGAATCAGAAAGCAATGCTTAATTGAAGTGTTTACTACAAAATATGTTTACTACATTCACAAATGCACTGATAGTGGGTTAGTCAATTCTATTTGAATTTTCGCCAGCTTTGGCCAAGGAAATTTATCACACCAACCTCTTCACACCCCAATCGTCGTGCAGTTTGAGCTTTTCTCTCTCTCTCTCTCTATGCTTTATGTTTGGTCATTTCCGTTATCAAAGCACATTCATAATTCATGGCGAATAAATGATGATGATGCGGCCCATCACTACAAATGGATATTCTCTGTATATTCAACGAAAAACAAAGTCGTGCGTCGGTCCAAGGTCTACAATATGTTTATAAATCACTCGGTTTGTCCATCCATTTTGATGTGGTTCGTATGAGAAAAACCACAGACAGGCGGAGGGAGAGACGGAAAAAAACAACAGCACAGAAAGTGTATCTGGAATGCATACCGAATCACAAGAAATAAAGATATGTTTCTCATGAGAAAAATCATCAATAAAAACAAGCCCCGAGATATGTGCTGATGATTCGTAAATGGAGTCAAGTTCAATGTGTTTAGGTCATTTATTAACATACTATTTTCGTTTCTGCCTTTTGTTTTTTTCTGTGCGTTTTGCCATCGATACGGCAATATTTCCGCTTCATCTTCGTGAAATCATTGAAATGCTAAACGCATTGCACGTAGATTCAAACCCCCAGAGGTGCTACCACCATTTCACTCGATTTGGTTGCATCCACTTCGGTGTAGTGTGTTTTATTGGCAGAATATTTATTTTCATTGCAAAACATATTTCCGGTTTGGGTTTATCCATACACTTGCGGTTTGTACGCATATTTTGACTTCATTTCTTTTGCCCTCTTCTCCGATGCCATATTATCATTTCTTATTATTGGCGGGCGTTTATTATTGAAAACATTCTTGTATGCTTGTGCACACGCCCAAATAAATTCGATTTATCTCCAACATTTTGCAAATAACAAATCACCGCTGACAAAACTGTTTCGATATGATTGCTGCCCTCAAGGCACATGAATTAAGCCTTAAACATGTCAAGTGGATGAAAATGTGCTTTCTTAGCTTTGGCTAGTGATTATTATTTGGCTTAGATATTCCGTGCTTATTGTGGGTGTCGTATTCGAAACAACACTTCAATTTTTTATAAATCGCAATATAGATTTCATTCCGGATCATCACATTTGAGATGACCTACGTCAAATAGTTGAGATATCATTATTTCATAGAATTCAAATCATTCAGAAGAACCAATTTCAAACTGCAGTTCTTCAATTGCAATGGAATATTCATAAAGTTAGTATATTTTATTTCATGTTCTATTCAAATCTCTTTTACTTAACAAATTGAGTGGAAAAAATGTAAATTTTCGAACAATACATATTAAAAAGTCTTATCGAATAAATAAGGTTTAAATCCAAGCAATTTACAATCATTTTATTTATTTATTCATTTCTTTACAAATTACAAAGCGCTTGACTCATATTTGACAACAACAAAAAACTGTTAAAATCATTGAATGTTTTGAATAATTTCTTCGTTCAATTGACTAACTAGTTATGCTTCTTGGCTGGGTCATGAACGTTTCTTGCACGACAACAGCAACATTTGAATAGTTGCGTGAGCAAAGCTTTAAGTATGTAGGTAGCTGATATGAGTGATAATAAAATGAGTGTTATCGCATCAATTGAATGGTAGGTAAACCAACACATATCGGTTGTGTATGCTTTGCCAAGTTCAAAGCCACCTGTTGCGATTGTATGTTCAACCCACCAGACGGCAGTTTCAAGCGGTGATCTCAGTCGATTTCTATGTTCATACGAAACCTTTTTGGCTGCCTCAACAACTCTATAATAAATGCATCGATATTAATATAATGATAACGATTTTAACTAAAAACTGAATAAATTGTTATGAACATACTTGGGTTGTAGTATCTTTTGAACGGCGTCATAAATTTTATCAGCGGTGATTTCCAGTAAATCTAGTTTGAATCCCATTCCACGCCGATTGAGTGCTGCCGCATTCAAATATTGATCACCGTAGAAAGGCGTAATAATGGCTGGTTTGCCACAGTGAACGGTTTCGATTGTTCCCAAATTTCCACCGTGCGTCCAAAATGCCTTCACATTTGGATGACCTGCGCGATTGCATGAGAGAAAACAAAGGTTATGAAAACTTGTAAAATTGTGAAAACTTTTCGCGTCACAAATGTAAGTTACACAAAATGTCTTGTTGAGATAGCCACGGTGTTGTGAAAACATTCTTCGAAACAATTTCCTGCATCGACACATTTTCCCATTTCCAAATAACTTGTAGCGATAGTTTGGCAAATCCTTTTACAAGTTCATGTTGAATATGCTCGGGCATCGATGAACTTTTCACATTTCCACCCCAACTGACTAGCAGAACACCGTTCTTCGCATTGTCGAGGATTTCTTTCAATTTCTGTGAATGAAAATGATTTTTTTCTTCGATCGAAGTTCGTTTTTCAATTTCAACATTTTCAGGGAACAAACTCAAATATAAAATCAGTTAACTTACTTGAGGTATTGGTTCTTCAGGCTTAATATGAAGACCACTCACTTCAATTAATTGATTAGATAGCGGCTTTGGACCGGTATAGGAATAGTGCTGATTTACGAATGTTAAACTGATTTTCTTAGCAATATCAGCAACTCCTGGTATATCATTGCCAAAGCGTTTACGTATTTCTTCATTGTCGCGCCGCTGAATAAATCTGATGTGGATATTGAAAAGAATGTTGAATAAGACAAGGGTTTAATGGACACGTGTAACGTGTAAATTTTACTTGTAAAGAAGTTTCCATGATTTCACTGTCAACCAGTTGACCGTGCGTTCGTATAAGTTCATATCCCATGAATATTCGGAAAATGCAAATGGGACATACGATGGTAAATCAGGTAAATTAATCGGACTGTAGTATTGTGGTGGCAACGCGCACGTCGAGAATCCGATAAATGACACATTGAGCTTATGGATCAGTCCCAAATAAAATTCAGTGATGAATTGTTCGACCAAAACTATATCAAACGGTTGTTTGCGATGAGCTTCTAATATTAAATCGATTTGCGGTGAATGCAATGCCAAATCTCGTTCAAATTCAGCTAAATTATACAGTTCCCATAGCTCTGCATGCATTGTAAAAAGGCTGCGATCTAATGGCAACTGAAAAACCGACACAGATTAGTTTTATTGCTCTTTTTATAACATACACACACACACACACACATTTTCACTCACCATCATATCGTAGGTGATAGATCCATTGATAACGGGTATATCGCTTAAAAGTAACTCATTGTAATTTTTGTGGGCACCATTCACATGTTGGTAACTTAAAACGGTAACATTATGACCGCGTTCGGCGAGTTCATTGAATAGAGGATAATACGAATGGAAATGACTCGGGCCTGGGTGGTAAAATAGCACCAATATTCGGCTACAACTCACAAATGCTGAACAAAACACAGCTATTGCTATTAAAATTCGAATTACTTTATCCATTTTGCGTATGAATTGTTTCACTTCCGAAAAAGAACTATTTCAAAGTGTCATATTTTGATCATAAAATAGCCTTTGATCGTTTTCATTTGGATTCTTCTATTGTCTCACCGTTTGATAGGCTGCGTATCTATTTTTTCGATACGATCAAAACATACTTTTTCACAAATATGGAATTTCATGAACATACAAATTGAATATCACAAAATACGACCACAATCGAATGAATTTCACACACTTCTGTTATTGTGACTATCGCGCGTTCAAGCAGGAAACTAGCAATATACTCGCTGAATGAAGCGATGTCAATCTTGAAATTTTTATCATTCAAATGCGTTTTAATTCAATTGAAATCAATTTATTTGCGTGACGTCGTCATCGTCATCATCGTTAACTACGATCAACTACAACATTTTCATATATAAATCATTTTTATTATTACGTGAAATGAATTAGCACTTTCGAAGAGTGCGAATCGATCAATCGCACACTATTTGTGATATATAATATTATGAGGCAAGGTTATCAAGCACACATCACTTTTTATTCAATTGATTTTTACGTTGTTTTGTGAACTTAAACTCGATTCATTATTATGCAATAAATGTCAGAATCATTTGTTTATTCTTTCTTTCAATTTATTATTTACAGCGGAGTATTCCGATTTCAAAAGACAATAAAATGAAAATACAGCTAGGATGATAAGAAATTGAACAAATTTTGAATTTTTTTTTCCTAAATGATTTCAATTCAATTTGATAACACGAATGGTTGAAGTTCAGTATTGAAGAAAAAAAACACTGCGATAAACTCTCTCAACGGAGGTAAATGAGACCACTTTTAACTTCAAAAGAACATTGAACTGATTCTAATTTTGATACGTAAAATAGCTGCGAATCGACAGCGGGAAGTGATATTTCCAGCATGATCAAGATATCACACACAACAGATGTGTTAATAAGAATTTGACGCAGCTTAATTGAGTTGTTGAAAGTGAACGCAATGAATTTAGAACGATAGGTAAACAAGAATATATTGATTTCGGTTTTGTTTTGTTCTATTCATCCTAATTTTGAGAAAAAATTGCGTGGCGTCTCCATTGAAAGTGAAATTCATTTAATGACCACGTGCTTTGCTCCATCGAAAGCATTGCTGGTCGTTTCGATATTGCATGGGAAACCGAAAAACGAACAATTCGGTCGCCATTTTCGAAGTCGATTCAGTGTGACTTCGATTTGCCATTCACATGTTTGAGCTTTGGCTGAGTGATGAGTAAGTGTGTGCGTGCCTTTGTCTCTAGCTAAGTGAATGAGTGAGTGAGCAAGCCAGAGCGAGCCATTGTAGGAATTTTTTTTTGCATTCAGTGTATCTAAATGTTCGGCGCGTAATATCCACCTTTGTACAGTGAGTAAAATTCATCCGGATTTCGCAAATGATGAAATTTTTCCGCAGAGATTGATTATAATAAAAAATCCATCGATCGTCGAATATTTGTCCAAATATCAATATAATATAATATATTAATTCATATTTTTTCGCAAACGTTTTGTGAATCAAAACACAATTTTTAGCTGTGAATGAAAGCGAAGCAATAAAAACATATATATATATAGCTCTTTGGTCTACGTGCAAAACGAACAGCTTCAAAATATTAAGTAATGCGCGAAAGAGACAACTAGTGTGCTCAACATTTCATACACACGCACACATTCGGCCACAGTATCGAGAGATGTAATACGAATGGACTGTGTGTGAACGATATGATTGTGAGTATATGTTTGTCGTGACCTAAACAATGGCGTCATTTAAAGAACGTAGTAATTCAAGGAAAGTTGACAGCAATGATGCAGAGACAAATGAAAATCGCAGCGAAAAATTGCGTTTATCTCGTTTAAATGTGGCAAATAGTGAGTTTATTGTGAATATTCCAAGTGAATTAACGATGGCAGATCATTTATCGACCATGGACAATGTGATAGTTCCAAATCGTGTTCAATTACAATCGATGGTGGCCAACAATAATGATGATACAACAACACATTCAGACACATCATCTGGACAGACGGATTGTAATTCAAATGCAAATCATGGCAATTTTGAGGCTGAAAATATTGTTAGCTCAACGCAAGAAACTGTAAATGATGCAGCATTTAATGTGAAATTGTGTAGTGATAGTTTGGCTAGCATTATAAACAAATGTGACGTAATGGATGCGAAATTACAAATGCCACCAAAATCAATGGCAATCGAACAACAGCACATAACAAACAACGAACAAAGTTACATAGCTGTAACCACAGCCAGTGCATTGTCCAGTCAAAACAGAAAAATGATGGATGATGAACCCAAGCGCCATTTGCATATCAGCGATTCATCAAAGGCGAAATCAAAACCACTGGAGAGCGGTACGTATGGAAAACGTTTATTTAGAAGGAATCACTGGAATTATTTATATTTTTTTGGAATTCTATTTGGAATCAAAGTATTTAATAAAATTCACAATTACAGATACCTCCGCTGTGCGAAGCAGTCAGAAAAAAAAGAAAAAGGATAGAGAAAGAGACAAAGATAGAGATAAGGATAAATTGCATCGGCACAAAAGTCATTCGTCATCAAAATCGTCGTCGTCGTCGTCATCTTCAGACAGCAAATCAACCGTTTCAGCATCGAACGGGAAAATACAAGTGAGTCATCATCAATCGGATCATGATGTTGGTCGTAGTCAAAGCGGCAATCAACACTCACACGACAAAAAAAACAAATCCGACGGCAAAAGTGACAAATGCAAATCGCCTAGTACTTCAAGCTCAACTAAGCCTACTTCATCGACAAATCAAATCAATTCAATTGAACTGAACGGAAATCATTCGATAAACGAAAGTGCCTCACGCAATGAGTTGATTAAGTTGGACGGTGATTTGAGCGCTTCGGAGGAGAAAACCAATCCAAAATCACAGCAAATCAACAGCAATGATATGACAAACAATCGACTGAGCAGTTCGGAAGAGTTGAATAACGTTCCCGACACAACAACCACCGATGTATGCACTGACATCGAGCCAACAAATGCAAGCAAAATGAGCCCGTTGCCAGCTGCCAAACCGCATGTTTTGCCAAAGTCTGAGCGTAAAGTGTTCGTGCCATCGAATGTCAGTTTTCCGGAGCGTAAGCCAACAGAAGCCGCTGGAATTGTCATCAAAAAAGATTATCTACCACCACCCACCAAAGTGATCAAAGTAGAAAAAACGCGTGACGATGTGACGCGCGTATTGAACTATGACACTGAGCCGAATGCGGTGCGAAGCATTAGCACGGCGATGAGCGTGATTGGCGGCGATACAAAGTCCATTGAGGAGAAAATCAAGGTGGAACCGTTGGAAGCACCTATCAAAATTGAGCCAAGTGATAAAAAGATCTCTGATGAAAAGCAAGCGAAAAAATCAATAACTAACAGTCACATATCGGAGAACAAAGAGAATTCAATGCATAAAATTGAAACGATAAAAAAACCGAAAGAAGAGAATAGTCCAAGCGTAAAGATAAAATCGGAATATAAATCACGTGAAAGTAGTAGCGAGAAGAAGGAGAGCAAAACATCAAGTGGCTCATCGGAGCACCGTCATCATTCATCATCGTCAAAGTCTTCATCAAAATCATCGTCGCATCGAAGTAGTAGCAGCAGCGGTGGCAGCAATCGCGATTGCTCACGATGCTATCGACGATCCAAGATTAAGCGAGTGAATACCGGTGTTCAATGTTGCAAGTACGGTGAACCGTTCAAATATATAACACCGACAGCAACACCGCTCAAAAGTACACAAACTCTTGCCTGCAATATGACCGACAGCCTGTACAGTGATTTGAAGTATGGCCGCTATTTTCACATTGAAGTCCATACAAATGGCGGTGCATCGATTGTGCACATGTATCAAAATGAAATCGATAGCTTAAGTGATAGCGAAATGGAGGAATTAACCGAGGAATTCTTTCGCGTTGTGTTCAGTGAAAACGAAGACGGATACGCACATCATGTTATGGGCATTGTTCACGATGCAGCCCGCTATATACCCGATCTGCTGGAACACATGGCTGACAATTATTCAACGTTAACCGTTAAGGCTGGTGTTTTGGGGCGAAATTCAGATATTGAAACCTCTACTCTTGTTCAATACTACGAACAAGTTGTGAAAAACTATTCACACGGCACGTTCCGTTACGGGCCATTGCATCAAATCAGCTTAGTTGGAAAAGTTCACGAAGAAGTTGGTGGCTATTTCCCAGATCTTCTGGGACGATTGGAAGCGAATCCTTTTCTTAATAAGGTATGAATGTCATTTTAAATATGAGTAAATGCAATTTAAACGTTTTTCCAAAACAAATTAAGATTGAAATAATATTTTTAATTGAAATGTTTCATCTGCAGACGATGCCATGGGGAGAAAAGTCGATAGTACAAATGGATCCACGATTATCGAACGATGGACCAATTTTATGGGTTCGACCGGGCGAACAGCTCGTTCCAACGGCTGAATTAACAAAAACACCTATGAAACGACAGCGGTAAGATCATTTTGATGTGAAAACTTGGATTTTGATCAAAGGAAAAAAAAAGAAGCAATAATTCATTGAATACTTACAGAACTCGGATAAATGAGCTACGTAATCTACAGTACTTACCCAGATTGTCTGAGGCGAGAGAAACCATGTTTGAGGATCGTACGAAAGCCCATGCAGATCATGTTGGTCATGGTCATGAACGAATGACAACAGCTGCTGTTGGTATGTGTTTTTGTGAAAAGGGTCATCATTGATAGTTCATTGTGGATGTTTGGAATTAATTTGATTGGTTTGTTTTGTTTTTGCAGGTGTCCTAAAAGCCGTTCAATGTGGTCAGAAAGACATGCAAAATCGCGTAACAAAGGATGTTGTGGCATTTTATGCCGGAGATTTTCCTCATTTAGTTGAAAAACTTCAATTGGATCTTCATGAGCCGCCCATTTCTCAATGCGTTCAATGGATCGAAGATGCTAAACTAAATCAGCTGAGACGAGAAGGCATTAAATACGCTCGCATTAACCTATACGATAACGATATTTACTTCTTGCCACGGAATATTATTCATCAGTTCCGAACAGTGACTGCCGTTACGAGCATCGGTAAATATATACAGCGTTTTCTTAGTAATATTTCCCATCATATAAATGAAAAATCGTTCAAAGAGAGCCTTGATCTGGAATAGATATTTTTCTTTATCATAAAAATCCGATGAAATTCCTTTTTTCAAAATTAATTAAAATACTTTCGTTTCTGTCCTGCAGCCTGGCATCTTCGTTTACGTCAATACTATCCAGGGATAGAGGTGACAAATGAGCACAACGATCCAAATCTCGCCGAAACTCCGCATTATAAAGAGAAACAGACAATTTTACCGCATCCAATTAGCGCTGAAGTTGAAAAGAAGACACAGACGCCGGTGAAGCGATCACACGATGGTAAACCGAAGAAAGATAAGAAAGACCCATGCAAATCGCCAATGATCGATGAACAAAGCACACCCAAAGAAGTATGTATAAAAGCTGATGAGGCTAAAATTGATATGAGAAAATTGGTCATCGAGCATAAATCGCATAAAAAAAGTTCGAGCTCGGGTAGCTCAAGTAATTCGATAAAGAAGCATTCGTCATCGTCATCGTTGTCATCGAGTATCAGTAAAAAGGATAAAGATAAGGAGAAAGATCGAGAAAAACATAAATCATCGAGTGGCAGTGATTTGCACCGATCTCATTCATCATCCAAGAAATCGCATTCATCGGATAAGCATCGACGTGACGAAAGCCGAAAATCATCATCGTCATCATCGACCAATCATTCCTCATCGTCATCTGAAAAGCATAAATCAAGTGAAACCTCCGCGAAAAAAGAACCGGAGCCACCGAAAGTCCAGACCGTTCCATTGGAACCAATTGCCATGGATGTGTCAACTGTTCAAACTGAAGAAATCGATTCAAATACGGAAAAGAATGAAGCTACATTGCCCGCTCAAGTCTCACCGTCGTATCCGATGGATTCAGTTGATTCGCCCGCTTCTCCTACACCTGAACATGCACCTACTTTTGCAAATCCAGTTGTTCAAAGTCCACAACCACCAGTTATGCCGTGCGCTACACTTAAACAAAATCCACCGCCACCACCGCAGCCGCCGTCATTTGATATATTACCACCGCTACCACCGCTACCAAAAGATGAAATACCACCTCCCCCACCTCCACCACCTGAAGAGGAGCCGCAGTCTAGTAAAAGTACTAGCACTTCACCCGATTCATCGACTCAACAAGCATCTCCAGCACCGAAAGTGCGCAAAAATAACAACGGCGACAAAGCAGCTCCCAGCTCCGATCTATTGGGATCAATCATGGCGAGCATGGATTCGCCAAGAAATGCATCAAATTTCTAATTTGATTTACCGTTAACAAGTGAACCGTTCAACAAATTGCAAGTGCAAATTATTTCTATTCTGATGTTTCATTCAGATCGAGTGTATCAAAGATTCGTGTTTTTAACAATTGTGTGTTAATTAACAGTATCAGACCATCTATATAAAATTCGGCCGAATATATTAATTGCAGAATTTTTAATTATTTAACAAACTTAGTGGTCATTATAGTTTCGACGAAGTCGCGTGAATAATAACGAATTTCCATTGGAATCGATACAGAAGAGAATTGTACATAAATTAATTTTAACATTGAATCAATATATTTCCTTTTTTTTTGGATAGATAGACTGCAAAGGAATTTTATGCTATGGCATTTTGCACCAATTCATTTCAAACTCAGAAGAGATAAAAATAATTTTATTGACTGATGTGTAGCTTTTCCTTATCCTTCTCCTCCATCAGTTCAATATATTCAATTGAATAGTTTCGTTTAGTAGTAACTTTTCTATACTAGTAGACTTCTAATTTTCATTCATTTTAAGCAAACAAAATTACAATGTTGGTCATATTATTCGAGTCGAATTTTTTTTTTTTTAATTCAAAAATTGTATATAAAAATATTTCGAAGAAACAAAAATTTTCCAAAATGATGCTGCCCAATATAATATCTAATAGAAATGTAGATATGTAGGATTAACGCGCCTGCTGAATCAAAAATTTATATACAAAAATTGGCATTATATACCTATACAAACAAGAAGAAAAATGAAGAAAACTATTTATAAAATTTGTAATTTGTAGTAGTGACAGTTAGTATGTGTCATATTCATCATGGCAATATGATTTAGAAATCGAATTTCGCATCTAGGAAAAAAACAAAATCTCACAAATTGAGATTTTTTTTTATTTACAACATTAAAAAAAAAAAACAGAATAGTAAACTCAATTAAGCAATTTCTATAGGAGTTTAAACAAAAAGGAGGAAAAAAAATAATGAAATGTAATAGATGACCGCTTCATGGAAATCAAGTAATCGTCAATTAATTGTATTCATGAACAAAGAATGTATACCGCGAACAGATTGTAGAAAATAGTATGGAGTTTTCAGAGAGTAGTGAGATGATTTTGTCGAAATTCATCAGAATCGGGCCCGCGAATAATAAGAAGAAAAAAAAGTGACAAATTCAAACGCGTAGTATTCGCTTATCCGCAGAGACTAAATTTTATTTTGTTTATGAACGAATGCACTTAATTAGAGTTGATTGCTTAAAAACAAAAGTAATTAATTTTTAAATCAATAAAAATTAGATGCACATGTTTCCTTCGTCCCCATCCTCCTCGACACCCCTCGTCCCAAACGCATTATACATCACTACCAAAACTGTAAACTTTACACAAAATACGCGAAATAAATTATGAAAAGAAAAATCTGTTTTAATGATATACTTAGTCAGTTAAGAGCGCAAACAAAAATGTTCATTTAAAAATCGATATGAAAAATACAATAAAAAAAAAATAAAAATTTAATTGAATTGGTTTTTATTTTCATTTCATTTTTTGCACATTAATAGCGCAAACGAAAGAGAAGTGTGTTTGTTGAGACATTCCATTCAATTTGGAACGCACCCAGGAGTCTAACATTGCTAGGCAACAGAAACCAAACAAGCTGAACAAACAACATTTATATATTGATAGTACGATTGACCGTGACTCATGCCATAGTGTACAAAGTAACACGATTTTTTTTTGGATTTTTCCCCACAATTGGAACCAAATTAAAACCATAAATAAAATGAAACTAATCACTTTGCATAAACGAAACGCGTACATTCAGTACAAACATACGATTTGTTCGTGGGCTGCAATATTTGTGTTGCTGGCAACGATTCTCACAGTTATTCTACCATTCTATTTTTCCTTCTATCTATTCAACGATATTTGGTCGCAATATAAAATCGTTTACGAGCATCCAGATGTGAAATTTCAATATAAGTATATGTTCGTTGCCGAGTATGGTGCTTCAAGTGCAGACAATGAGAACTCTCACGATTCGACCATCACCGCATGTAGCTCTTACGAATATTTGAATGAATTATTTGAAGATTTTTCCGAGTGTTCAATGATAAAGGTAAGTGGTTTGTGTTCACTTCTCAAATGTACATCTATTTAAACTGTAGCAAAAAATAAAATTGTGCAAATTTCCAGTTCTGGGAAAAAGACTCGGATTTTGACCATCGTACTGATCATATGGCGCTTCAACTCACCTTTAAACCACCACAAGGATATGCGCTCAACAATTTTAACCTTTTTTTGGAATTCTACGCTAAGCTGAGTGTAAGTGCTTTCTTCCCGAAATAAAATTTTCAAATATGATCGATATGCTGTTTTTTTGTTCTTTTTTAGCGTCAGTGTCATTTGCAAATCCCAGCAGCACTTCTTTTTCAACAGATGCAAGTTCCATCTAATTTCCGTACTGGAGAAATATTCATTGAATCCCATCTGGAATTGGTTCAGCGTACCGGATTCCACTGCCCGTTCTTTTTAAGACAAATCAAGTCTCATTTCTATCACACAATCATTCCCGAAAACAGTACAAATCTGAGAGACTACGAAATGGTTGCTATTCGCCGAAAGTTGAAAAATAATCCGGCATACATAAGCGTTGATCAATCGGCCATCGTAACACATTGGAACCGAATACCATCTAGTGATATTGTACTAAACATCGATCTGCACATCGATGAAATGGGCAGCCGGTATCACACCTCATTCTGGCAACGACTTGGACAAATTTGGATTTACTATTTGTCAATATTCTTGGTGTGCGCATACGTGATGGAGAAGCTAAAGAGCTACATATTTTCAAGACAAATGATTCGAGCATGGGAGATTATACCGTGGAAAAAACTTTATTGATTAGATGAGGACACTGAGGAAAATTCCTCGGAGCAAATTCAACATATTTTAATGGTACAAAAACGAACAATCAGAACTTTACGCTATCCAATGACTGTGCTGAGGCAGTTCCATCAATAGTTAAGCGATTGTCCTCTAAGATGATTGTATCACGTGGATAATAATCGAGCTGCACGAACAAATAACGATAACGATTTGATTCCTAAATTGCATTAAAAAAAATGTAAAAAATTAATTTATTACGTATTGCTGTTGATTGAAACATGATTAAATACAATCAACACCAACCAATTCTTTTTCTAAATGAACTGTCGCCTTATTTCGAATTCCTTGAATATAAAATTGCATCCGTATAGATTTCTTTCCATTTCGTTCGTGGATTGAATGAGCCACATGCTGTCGTCGTCTTCGTCGTGTCTCTTCTCCATAACCTTTGATCGGGCTTCCTAATGCGTCTTGAATACGAGTATCCTATTTCGTTCGAGCAAATATTCTTTATTAATTCCAAGAAATTCCAATTTTGGTAATAAATAAACTCACGTTAATGCATGTATTTAGCGCTTCTGAGTAAATATTGTTTGGACTGCTAGATGAAAATAATTCTCTGAATACAACAAACATGATAACGCCAGTCACTCCAATTCCAAAAACGATGACACCAAAATAACTGGCCGTTTTTGTATTCTCTTTGATTCGTTCACCCAGCGGTCTCACATCGGTCGATACGTCCGATCTATCACTTGAGGTGGATATAGCGGTGTCATTTTGGACTCTTCGCTTTTGTTCTGCGATTGGGGAAATACCGATTGATCTTAAAGTCAATTTTAGAATTGAATTCATTTGATGATTCTGACGGAATTTATTCAAAGAACGAATGAGTAGAATTGACATTGTGGTGGACGATTAAATGCAGTCTTGGAATTTCTGCAAAGATAAAAAAAGACATTTTCTCTTATCATTTTTGGTGATTTTTCGGACGGGAAAAACCTCCAAATCAATGGCACTTTACTCATCGATTTGACATTAACAGTTCGGTTTTCGAAATAACTCTTAAACCAACACGCCTTTTCTTTATTGATACCAACCATGCTAAGCTTCAAATATGGTCAATCACAAACAATCAACGATTAATGCTTAATAACAACCCATGCCATTAACAAAGTACACAAACTATTTTCCGTTTTTCGTCATTCACTTTCCTTAGAATCATCAAGCTAATGGCAATTCATGGCACACCTATCGCAAGCATTTATCTTTGATTTTTACGACAGTCATTCTAAAAAGAAATACCGATGAATTTCTTTTGCGAAGCAACACACATTTTTCGCTCTATTTAACCTCGGTGAACAATGCCATTTAGTATTAAGTCACCGCCGTGTCCAGTTAGAAAATATTTTGTTCCACATTTATTTGCACCCACAAAAACAGTCTACATAACCAAATTTAATTTTTGTAGTTGAACAAAAAAATTGTTTACCTAATGTTTGCTACAATCCTGATAATTTGGCGCACTTTAATCACTTTTTCGGAAGAGTTAGTTTTGTTTTCGGCGAATTTTTCCACCTTTGTGCGCGGTGTTTATCAAAATAGGCAACAATGAATATATAACATTGAGTGAGTATTTCGGGCAGGGTTCAATAAATCTATCAACATTTGAATATGACAATTGTTGGCAATTTTTGTTCAAAATTGTTTTATTTCTTATTTTTAAACAACTGTTGCGTAATGGGATATTCTTAATTTTGTTTGAAAAAACAGCTGAAGTAATATTTAAAATCCAAAAATTCTGCGTTTTGATGCGATTTTGTGCTTGGAATTGTTGTATGAATTCATTATTTTGAAGATGATTGAACTGATAACACATTTCAGTGTTTTCAACAACATTTCGTATCATAGTAAAATCCATTGAATAACAATTAAACTTCTTTCACCCGTCCACCAATTCGCCACCAAATTTTCAAACAACCATCATGAAGAAAAACAAAAAAAATATTATTTGTTATTAAATCTGTTCAAATCCAAATGCATTCGATTCAAACGACTTGGTTGAATATTTAAGAGAAATATAGAAGCCATCCCCAGTTTGACGTATGAAAAGTCAAAGTAAGCTAACGTCATCGCCGCAATCACGCACACAACCACAACCATTCGTACATATATAATCGATGTGCGTTAAACAGAAGCGCCAACCATTGTATGTATACAGTCGCAGTGTACTGTGAATCCAATACATGCAAAGAAACGGCACACAATCATACGTGTCATACGTGTGTCGTACAAGCAAATGTAGTTGAACAAATCTAATTTTTCACCGTGGCTTTCAGTGTTGCTGCATCCGTCGTCGCATCTCGTATGGTGTTTTTTATAATAAGAGCCACCGTAGTCGCTTGAGAGAAAAATGTAAACGGGATAAAAAGAGAAAGAAAGAAAAACAAACGCGGAACAAAAAATTATATAGCATTTGTTCGTGAAATTTTTTGAAAAATTTAATAATTCTCGTTATAAAAGACATTTAATGTGCATCAATAAAGCGACGGTCACGTCACATTTTGTGAGTCAGTTCAATAGAAGTGGGCAATTTGTGTTTTAAAATTTGCGATCGTATTTGTGTTTGCAAATAAAAAGCAAAAAAAGAAAATAGAAAGGAGGTATATGATTCGAAAGTGTACACGCAATACCATGAGGATGTGGTGGAGCCATAATCAGATTAAAGATATTTTATAAGGAGCACACACCAACGACATCGATAGCGAAATAAATCAACTGTTGTACATATCTCTTTGAAGGATTTATGTGCTGAAAAAAAGAGAAGAATTAGTGCATGAAAAAATTATTGTATGACGGAAAGAAAGAAGCATAACAAGTAGCTAGGCTACGCAATTAAATCTTATTTGCATGGATTTGTGAATATTTTGCAACGTAGTCTTCTTAACGTACATTTTTTTTTGAGTTCGTCTGGCAACCTCTTCCAATCGCCACAAACACACACAGATCCGATTTATCACTTTCACACTGTTTTCGAATTCTAAGAAATAATATAATTATCAACAGCTATGATATATTTTGTCTTCGCTTTGTGAATCGCAGTTCGAGTTGTTTACACAATCAGTGATTCCGCGTTCTAAGTGTTTGTTAGAAGGCACGATCCTAAGTTTTCATCTAATTTTCAAAGTGAAAAATAAGAAAACGTGAACCAAACAGAATTGAGAAACCGAAACCGAAACCAATTGAACTGAGTGCGAAGATCACTTTTATCTTGGTTTCGTACAAATAAACAAAAATCGAATAATTCACATCTGATCTAAAGCGTCGACTGTGTGAAAGTGAAACTTTGGAATCGCTATTTTTGTCATTTCTTTCTACGAATTCTTTTGACGAATAGCGCCGTCAACGATGATGTACACAGCATATTTAGCATAGTTTTCATCATATAGTTCTCGTGGAAATCTTTGGATCATCAACACTCATTCATCTTTATATAGGTGAGCAGCATTCATATTAACCTTGAACGATTTCGGTTTGTGGGATTTTGGTTTGTGGTGTTGCAAAATATAAAACACGATCCGCATATTAATGCGTTACGCATTTGTGTTCAGTGAACGATAGAAAACCAAATGATTGCCATAAATAATCGAATTGATGTGTTTTGCTTACAGATAAGACAACAAAAAAAAGGTCAACATGATAAGCGTCCAGTACAGCTGTAAAGTTATGTCTTCCGTTTAGCCAAAGCGATAAACAGACAAAAAAATTAACTCCAAAATTTATGTTCAAACAAAAACACGCACACAAGGAAAAATAGACGATTTGTTTTTTTGTTGTTCTGGTCGTCGGATTTAGAAAACCCTTGTTTTTTCTTTCGAAGAAAGGAAAGAAAAGGCAAAACCACAAGATAAACAAAGCAATCACAATTTTATCGACAACCATATAACGACGTGTAATAATCGAGACCTATAAAAATGGATGACTGGATTATCAGCGACGAATTGAATCTCCGTGTGTCACACATTTTGGGTGGTGCAGCCGCATCAGCGATGGTGGTTGGAGGTGTCATTCCATATGTGCCGCAGTATCGTCAAATTAAACAAACACAGGATGCCGACGGTTTCTCACTGCTCGTATGTCTCACACTTTTGATTGCAAACACTTTGCGTATTTTATTTTGGTAAGTGTATTTATCTCAATGTTTTCGTTTTTTTTTTCATTCTCATCAAAGCCATATCACGTTCCAGACATTAATTCGTCTGCATTCAGGCACACAAAATGCCTATTTGCAAAGTAACGTTGTATTTTTACGGAATGACATCATTTTATTGTTGATTCCATGCGATTTGTATTTGATTAAATGAAATTGTGTTTTGCTTTGTTTGAAGCGGCGAGACAATAAAAAAGTATGCATCGTATCGCACCGGCGAAAAAAAAAAATCTAGGCCAATCGCAGTTTGTTCATTATTATTATCAATCACTTGGAAAATTGTTTGCTCAAATCAATCGGAAACTATTAAGATTATCAAAATGGTTCGGAACATAGGCTATTTGTATTATGAAAGTTTAACTCAGATCAATACACTTTTTGTTGACAAATAATCCGCACCCATTTTCTTTATTTCAAACCACCTTTTTTTCCTTTAATTCGATTTGATTCCGTGATTTGTTCCATAGACAGAATATATGTTTCATGGTATCGAAAAGATTATCTTCAAACTTGGATACAATCGGTGGATTTTCGAGAATTGGGCTTCTATATTCGCAGTGATGTTTGGTGTTCACATTCACAACAATATACGGCAAGAAACTTATCGAAAACACACCGAAATCCATATATACATTTATAAAAATGATAGTAATAAATGAACGTCCTTGCCGACAGAATAAGGTGCGTCGCACGATTTCGTGTCACGAAATAGTTCATTAATACCAATGTTTGTATACAAAAAGCGAGAAATGAAAGTGCACGATCCCCAATCACATTTATGTCAGCAGCTCACACAGAAATCAAGTAAACAAAAACAAAAACTAACAACAACAACGAACTGGAAATGTGGATAAAGTGTAAGTTTAAGCGGTTTTCGATGTGGATGGAACGAAAAAATTACGTTCAATCAGACCCTCGTTTGCGTCAGTACTGCTGCATTTCAACTATGTATAACATGTGTACTTATTCTAGCAAGGAAAAAGAAAGAAATAGGAAATACGTAACGAATCCCTTTTGAGCCGAAAACTGTAACACCAGAAGAGCACGCGATTATTCATAACGATTGCCGCTTGACGTCGATATAGTGTATGTGTTCATTTTTCGAAGCAAATCGAAAAAAAGGGCTGTAATTAAAAAGAGAAAATTTACGAGCAATTCACCAGGTGGATACACTCATGTGCTTTTTGGAATGTCAACATGCACTTGTGCAGTGCAATAACTGGTGGTCAAAAAAATGACAAATCACTTTGTTCGAAAAAGGAAAAATCGACCCAAAACGTTCACATATACAAAAAAGCATCGACTTTAAAATGGTTTCAAATTCGAAATATATCACACAGACATCGATTACACCAATTTTTTTTTTATATCGAACATTAAATTGTACACTGTATCTGTTGACCTGCTTTATTTCGCCCAACTGCTATTGGTGCTGCTGCTGCAGTCGTTTGTTCTTGTTGTGAAACAAAACATACTAACACCATTCATCCGATGTATATGCACCAGCATTTGGATTTTGTCTGCCATTCTTTTCCAGTTGTTGAATTTTCAACGTTTTGTCCTTAAGAATGTAACTTATCAGCACCCTTTTGCAACATCAATGCAATGCGCAGCACTCACTCCATCAATTTTCCACCATTTTTTTTTTTGTAAACTCAGACTCCGTAGCATTTTCCCTTGCTCGATACCACCAAAATGAAAACGTTGCAAGTGGAACGAGAGAATGAATTGTATTAAAATGGCAAAATGAAATTTAACGCGCGTGATAATAAAAAAATGGAGTGTAAAAAGTGGAAATAATTGCGAGAGCTGAATAATTTGTAGTTTCCCGTTTTCGATTCGACAGGAACGAACACGGATGAAGGATGAACGATGCATATAGCATGGTGAATACACTTGCATGCTGTACAATTGATAACGCTCTGCGCTCCATATATTTTCACCCATCCATAAACTGAATGGCGGGCGCAGCAGCAGCAAAAAACACCGAGATAAACAAATTCATTTATGCTCGAAGGAAGAGCAAATTTAATTTCGTTGAAAAACCACTGTTTCATTTTTGACTGCACGTGTGTGTCAGACTGCCACTATCAGTTTGCCCGTGTGCATGTCGCAAAATTATCAATCAACCATGCCGATGTAATTCCAAAAATGGAAGTTGAAAAAAGTCTCAAAAATCCCTATATATTCAGTAAAATGAAATTATGTTGGCTTGACATTCGTTGATTTCATATTTTCTTGCAAAACAAAATCGATTGCTCGAACAAAGAGTCAAAGATCTATCCTTATCATCATACAAAGTAGTGTTGATTGGTGTTTGAATTACGAACGACGATGATAGAGCCTACCTGCTCGCAATATTCATTTCTTCGACGATTCTTTTCTAATCACGAGCTTATATTTCCTATCTCGGCAAGCGATACGAAAACTTGGCAGCAAACTAACGAAAACAAGTTCAAAGTTGAACAAAGTCCCGTTGATAGCAACATTGATTTCCTCAGAATTGAGTTGCCGTCGGCGCTTGGAAATATTATGGCCTATCTTATCGCTCATTTAAAATATATACAAAACGAAAGCAGTTCAAACAAAATAATCGAAGTTCAGTGTCTTGTTTTTCATCTTATCTCAACAGAAATCTAATTGCGAATAACGATTGAAATACAATACGGTTTATTTGCCAACGACGCATTTTATACGACGCATTGTCCACGATTCTCATTCAGAAACTCCAACAAATCTGCTTGTAAATAATGCATGACTGAAGCAGCACACAGAGATTACACGCACATAATTCATGCTGACATTCCACTGAACGGAAGAGAGAGAGAGAGAGATGTACATACATAAATAAACACAGAAATGAATAACGCCGTTGCTTGGACTACAAACCAGTTGGGAACAATGGCATTGTGTTTGATTCAATTTGATGCCTCCTCGCTGTTTTTGTTATATTTGTGTGACATCAATAAAATCGGATGCGAATGGATGCGATGTGTATTAAATTAATGTTATCAACGAATGTGAGACGAAATCACGATACAGTTGATTCACGATATACTTGATTGAATGAACCAAATGTTGATATTTTGCCGCCGAATTTTGCTCTTCCATAAAGTGAATACAAAGCCATTGTGTACGTGCAAAAAATCGCTTTGACACTGTTTTGTCACGAATCGTGACTCACGATTACTGTGCACAATTTTTCTCACTTAGGTTTCTCGAATAAAATTTATTCCTTCGTTTTACAATCATTGTGAACACCGCTTGAGAGAGAGAGAGAGAAAGAGAGAGAGAGAGAAAGAGAGAGAGAGAGAAAGAGAGAGAGAGAGAGAAAGAGAGAGAGAGAAAGAGAGAGAGAGAAAGAGAGAGAGAGAAAGAGAGAGAGAGAAAGAGAGAGAGAGAAAGAGAGAGAGAAAGAGAGAGAGAGAGAGACGTGTGATCAACAGTTTCAGTGATTTGAATTGAAAAGCCATTTGTCACCCGCAAAAGCAGCATTCCTCCAATTTGAATTCAAACCCACCCGACAACGGCATTGATTAATACAAATATTCCGGTTGGATTGAGTCAATGAGCCGGCACTTTTGCTATGACATCTCAGTTGATTCAATTGAAAGTGAAATGTTTCTCATTCCATCGTGGCACTCTTCAATGGCAGCCAAACACTCTCATTAAAAAATACATTCGTTTATTTTTATGGTTGCAGTGCATTCCTATTTGAATTAAATTTGATTATTCACAAGTGAACATTTTATGTTTCTGCCCTAAAAGTGTAATCAAAATGCCTGCATTGCCCATAACCCACCTACTGTGGACGTGTATGAAGTGAACACGATATAAAATATTCAGAAATAACACATTTCGTGCACGATTTTCGTGTGTCTGTGTGTGTTTCTGTTTCTTCTATCATCCACAAAGTCATTAGCGTAATTTCTCCGTACCCGCAAACATGTTTCACTTGTTAATGAGCATCGAATAAAACCGGTATCAAAACTTGATTCACACGCCGAAAAGGGTAGACCATTACAAGCCATTAAATTCATACAATTGTCGTGTTGTGCAAATACGTTCTGACAGTTTGCAATTTCCTAGTGGTTGAAATGACTACACAAATCAAATACCGCCAATGGAAGCCATTTCAACCAATGGCTATTCCAGCAAATTATTTCTATCTGTCCCAGTTGACATGAACGATTCAAAATATAAGATGTTTTTTGTGGGCGAAAAAAATAAATAAATAAAATGTTGCAAGTTTTAGGATAAATTGTGTGTGACTGTTTCTGCAACAATCAAACTTCATTTATGTCAACACCATTGACGCAGAGGAAGAGGATATTGTGTGACAGTTATTCGGCCACTCTCAAATGGATATCTTCAAATGAGATGCTCTTTTGCAATTCTTTTTAATGATTGTTCACTTTGAAACACTTTTTGCAAGACCCTCGTCATATTTCCACAATCTTCGACATTGTTATCAATTCTGACTGTACGTTCAGCATGAATTCCCACATCGGCACTTGTGTTGTTGTTAAGTTTTTTTTTTTCATTTTCGGTTTACTGAAGGCTATTTTTATAAAATATGGCATATATGCCATAAAACTTATACTCGTATATGTTTTGCAACGTTAAAATAGTAAAAACCCAAGTTCTAAACAAGCTAATCGTGAAATGTTTTCCATCAAAACAGCAAACTGGTTGCGAATCGGGGAAAATACAGCAAAGAAAAAAAATTTGTTTGCCAAAGATGCGGAGAAAGAAAAAACTTGGGAAAAAATACTGCTATTGTTGTTGTTGTTCTCATTTCCGATTGAATGATAGCTTTTACTAATTTTTGTCTCGTCGCAGAGATTCGACTCCAACCATTTGCCGCAAACTTTGTTCGCAGTATCGCAAACAAACGAATTTATGTACATTCGTACACAAATTAGAAAAAGATTTAAATAGAATTTGATGGCGTATACTAACAAAAGCACCCAATTTCCGTTCCCAAGTTGACCTTCTGCGCTCTCGTTGCGGTATTGTTTGACCACATTCTATATAATCCATTCGAGAAGCCCACAGATCCTATTTCCACACTGGCTTGGCATTCATTCGTTCACTGAATGTATCGTGCAAAAAAAAAAAAAAAAACGAGAACAATTTATCGGTTCTATTTTCATGCGGGCACTAATTCAGTGAAAACAGAAGAGACTGCAATCGGGTCGTAACAGTCTAAATTATGATTTGTTTCATATTTCGATGGGTTGTGCTCAATTCAACGACAGAGTATAGCCGTGCAAGCTGTCACTGACTCGAATCGGCCTCCGACTAAAAGATGAATGTTTTGTTGCAACCGTTTACATAATGAATCCATAATATTTGAACAGTTATAACTGGAGCAACATTCATCAGTCTTTCTCTTCTTCTTCTTCTTCTTCATTTCTGCCGTTTGAGGAGCAGTCATGCAGAAAGAAAAACACCGAACTCATGTCTCACTCATTTGGAAATGGGTTGCTATTCCGAGCAATTGCTTTGAGCAGCCTATGAATAACATTCAAGCTCCCTCGAGCATATACACAAATACATATGCTTTCAATTCCAAATGGCAACCAAAAATATTCATCTGAATTGAGTTGTTGCTTTTGAGCGTTGAGCTGTTCGGCTCGATTTGAGTCGGGTGGATTCATGAAAGTGAAATGACATCATTTTATCCTTTCCAAGGCTTAAATAAATGTTTGAAGAACGAAGCGACAAACGTGTGCACGGTATTTGACATGGAATTTTTTTTTCACACTTTGCATTTTGAATGAAAAACACACGAAATAGATTATGGATGCCCTCCAGCTGAGCTTAGCGCCCTAATAAGTAGTTAATCCATTATTTAAATTTCTTTCTGCAAAATTATTTTGTACAACTTCATTTTCACTCGTATTCGACGAACGTTGTCGTCAGAAGAAGAAGAACAACTTTCCCTTTTATGAACTTATTTCCACAATCCAAAAACAGAGCTGGAAAATTGCAGTGTTAGGATATGCCGTGCGAGTTAGCATCTAATGAATATATGTTGTGTTGAATACAGTACTTTTCGTGTACGGTAGAGAGAAAAAAATGTGCGCTTCCGACCATTTGCATTATAATGTACGCGATGGCACAAGAAATGTCATAAAGAACTTTGATTTATATTTTATGCGCTCATCGTTACGCATGTGAATCTATTGCGACTAGAAGAATAGTTTCCCGTCTTTGTTTCGCTCGGAATTTTTGCTCTTGACCTTGACAATTCACGACCGAAATAAATACTACGGTCTAGAAATTGCTTTTTTACGCATATTCTCGTTTACAAAATGGTTATTACTGACGCAAAACCGTCGACACGAACAAGAAAAAAAGAAAGAAAAAGCAAAAACTTCAACAAAGGGGCAATTATAGTAATCTATATTGAATCGGAAACCGTTGAACAACAGCAACGACAAAACAGAAATCGCTTCAAAGTACCGCTTTTCGCGCCACTAAATTCTATTGTGTGAAAATGCCAAGTGTTTGAACACATTTTATTGATAGCAAAGTTATTCAAACAGTGCTCTGTCTCAAGGTCAAAGTATCTAATGAGAAAGAGAAAAACCATTGCAATTTGGATCGATTAGGTCATAAAATAGAAATAACAATTCGAAAAGAATGCTGAAATAGCAGCAAGAACCTTTGGTTTCTTTTTTCGCATACAAAACGATGTTTACGCTTCATATCCATTGAGTGTAACATTTGTTCGACAGCCATAACCACAGTCCGAATGATTGCCCATAAACACTGTATCCATCAGTGTTGTGCGGTATTTGTGCGGTATTGCGCGCAAACACAAAACATTCAATCGCAAACCAAGCGCTTTCTGTTTCCACTCGTATGAACAAAATTCACATGTCAAACATCTTCATTAAATAATTAAATTCATTTCGAATAATTATAGTCGTTGATCAGTTAACGAAATGCTTTTTTCTCATAAAAAATTAATTAGCAAGTGTTGTGCAAGGCACGCTCATTAAACACAGTAGGCCATTAGTACTTATCAGAACTTGTAAAATGTTCGTTTTTTTTAAACATTTTTCTTCGATAAATTTCTCTATCAATTATTTATTAATAATTATTAATGGCTTACCATTTCATTTCCATTGAAATAAATTGCAAACAAACAAAAGTAGTACATACAAATCGAACCAGAACTTATAAAACATTTTGATACGTAAACTTATTTATCTATTTTTCAATTTGCAAAAAAATCGCAAGCCTTGAACAGTTTATGTGTTTATTTAAAATTATGGCTTTTTTTTATCGACAACCTCATTTCACGTGTGCATACACACATACTTTGTTAATAGTTCAATTCATCAACGTCACCCAGTCAAACTAATTCTTCCGCTTGGCTGCAAACAACACATTCTCGCCGCATATTAAAAAAAAACCCACCAGAGATGATAGACATTCTTTGCGAATAATATGAGGTGGCGAGAAATGTTTCGAGGAATTTGTTATGTGCATATTTTTAAACATATTTTGCGGAGTGTAACTGTGTAAATTGAATGGTTGTGTCGAAGCGTACATGCAAATGTTTGTCGAATTTCCCCGGAGTATTTCCGAATTTCACACGCGGCACGTGGATTCTTAGTAGAATATTATAGAATAAGCAAAATAATATATTCGAAAAATGTCTTGTGACTTGGCAAAAAAAGTGTCTGAAGCAATTTATCATGGGATTCAATTTTCTATTCAAACACATCAATCATTTGAATACAAATCCATATGTTACGGTCAAAAGGTAAATAAACCAGAGAATTAAATGACAACTATGAAACGATTTTTTCCTTGTGTCTTTCTTCGAAGTCTATTGAATTAAAAAAGAGTCGCTTCTAACGAATTCCATGTGCAATCCAATTTAAATGGCAACATTGTTGTTTCAATGTGCGATTAAATGTGTGCACGTGTTAGCCAAACTGAGGTCGTTTTTATGTGCACGTGATTTGTAAGCAGCAAAATATTCAATAAACATTTTGACTGCAAGTCAAACGGGAATAATCAAAAACGCAAACCATTTTTTATCGTTTAGATTTCGTTTGTGTCTGTCTGTTTTTATGGATTACATTACACCCATGTGCAAATGAATAATCCAAATAAAATTTTCTTCATTTCCCGACCTTTCCAACATTTACGGTATTTTGTGAATATCTCGCAAGTGTTTTGCCACACAAGAGCCAAAAATCACTGAACCATTTTCCTTTTTCCCTCTCTTTATTAGCTCCACAATGGAATCTCGGTTGTTCTTTTTACACGCGTATCGTTGCTTCAATTTTCATAGTTACCACACTTTCCATTACGGTCGTTGTGTTGAACGCAGTTTGCGAGGCTTAATTTAGTGGTTGAAAAGA